CGGCCAGAGCACTGGGCTAGAAAAGTGGTAGCCTTAAAGCTGTTTATTTCGTCTTAGTTTTACCACCTTTACCTATGGACGGGCAACCGACAAATCCTTCGGGATCTCTGGCCAGCAGCTCGCAAGGCACTGATTTGGCTCATACGTGACAGCACTGGGGGCTCGGGTCTCCCTTTACGTAAAACGTGCACTTATGACATCATTTACCTAGAGGGCTACGACCACACGACATACAACAGCGTTATGTATCTGTTGGGATTACGGGTGGGTCAAGTCCTTGCAGATACTGTAGGAGAAACGGAATTGGCTCGAGTGATTCAGTTAGCGTTTGAGTATGGAAAAGCTAGAATAGACAGGACTTTATGGGATGAAGAAGAAGGGTTTTATCACTCATGGTGGGATCACGAGAAAGGTTCGCTACCCTGGCTAATGGCGGACTCTCTTTATGGTCAGGTAAGTAAGAAGGATTCCATTTAAACATTGATGGAGACGAATTCGATCCCCGGTTATATGTGAAATTACTTTATTTGAACCATGGATGATGCGAGGTGAGTCGAGGTAGATGCAGCAGCAGAAACTAAATCTGAAAAAAAATTGTACAGTCCTCAAGAAGCCTAGATTCTATTTCATATAGAGAGGAGTAATTTGAAATTATCAGTTAAAACATCTGCTATGCTTGCTGCTATGTCAGTCACAAGATGGAAATTAATGTCGTGGTCCCAGTAACAAAGTCATCTGCAACATAATCAGGATTTTAAAAAAATATAGAGAGAGTATGAATTCTTGATTTCATCACTCTTTACCAGAATGCATTGCAACTTTTAACCAGAGTACATTGCGCCACAGTTGTTGTTTTTAGTGTATTGCGTTACATAGCGTTACTACTGTAAGGACATTTCCTATAAGTACTCAGTCGTGTTGTAAATCTATTTTCCTATGTAAAGGCAAATTAACTAATCGCGAGTATTGTATGGTAAATCTACTATCTTGACCACTGAATGAAGGACAGTTGAATTAGAGAAATAAATGGAGTCACTTGATCAAAGAATAACTCTAACTTGCGTTAGTTGACACGCCGGTAAGCCGGAAAGCAAAAGCTGACCGATGGTGTTCATAGGGCCTGTGCGACTCCAAGCATTCGCTAGCGCTTTTTGATCTTCTACCCTTAAAGTTGAGCTCTTATTAGGATATCTCTTAATGACTTTGCTTTGCGATATAATAGTAAGGGTTAGTTTTAAGATGTTATTTGCCCATCTGTATGTTCTTGAGGTTTGGCAAAGCCGGATGGGATTGTAGCACAAAAGGCCATATTTTTCTTTTGTACGCGCGCTTTTTTCTCTGTTTTTAAGTATACTTTTCTCTCGCAGAAAATAAGTTCAGAGATGTGTTTCTCGATGTAATTCTTGGAACACGCAGGTAGATGTTACTACGTAAGTTATGTCACCATCAGGGGAATGTACCACAGCATTACCACCTTTAAGATACACTAGTTAGTCCACTAAACACAAAAACTAAAATACCGACCCTATTCCAAAATAACGAAAGTAACAGTGAAAAAGAATCTTCCCAAGCTTTCCTTATTTCTTCTGTTTCAGGTTTGGGCTTACGCCCTGGGTCTTGGAAACCTACTTGATCCTATCAAAATGAAAATGCATCTGAATAAAGAGAGAGAGCTAAATGACACGCCCTACGGACTGCGCGTGCTCACCCAAGGGATCAACAGAGGAACAAAGAAGACAAATAATGCAAAGCAAAAATTGAGACAAAAAAGGAAAACGCGCAAAGAAGAGGAAGCCGTCGTACATCTGGACAGCTTCTTCAGCGAAGTTTCAGAATTTAGAGATCCCCATTTTAACAAACTATCAAATTTTACAGCGAAGAAAAGTAAGCTAAAGGCAAAAATGCACTACGATAATTATAAAACAAATAGACATACTGCACATCATCTTTCAGCGGCTAAAAAATCAGTGATGAAAGTCGACATGAAAATAAAGACAAGAAAACGCAATGAAACAGAGAAAGGTTTGGATAAACAATTCAATTCAACATCAATTTCAATACAATCCGTGACACAAAAATCTCTCAAGCACGATAACTGCTTCGCCCTTGAACAGGAGAGCAAGTTTAATTCCATTTGGATGGGAAGCGATGCAGATTGGACTACTCTCAACATCCACCTAGGAATGGATCCCTCTAAAGCTCTAAAACAAGCCGAAAAGGCTCTGGAACACTACAGAACTAAACTGAACGACCTGTGGAATATCCACGGTTTGACCGCTGGTCAGGGTTACGGCGTAGACGGTCAACCGTGGTGTACGTCGCATTATAGTTTCCACATGGTCCTCTGGCATATCCCGTTGGCTCTTTCGGGCCAGCAGTATAATGCAGTAAAAGAACGTTTAATCTTTGAACCGAAATTGCAGGTCCCGTACGTTCTTCCATTTTTCACTCCTTTCGCTAGCGGAACAATTCAAGCAAGGAAGCTGGAAGAGCGAATTAAGCACATCGTGACCGTGACATCCGGGAGACTGGAACTGAAGTTCTTAGCCGTATCAAAAAGTATGTTTCCAAACAAAAAAATTGAACTAAGTGAGGGAGAGTTTGTAAGTTGGGAAAGAAAATGAATTGACCTTTTTTACTTGCTATTTTGTAATAAAAAAACATTACCATAAATGTGGGGTTTATCATGGTCTATAATGATTAAACAATTAGCTACGAAAGCTTTTGCTTAGGATGCATGGAGTGTAAACGCAGGGTGACTGCTGACTTGTCCCCTCGAGACATCCAGAACCTTGATAAGCGTCCAGATCCCTACTGACACTCATAGCGCAGGACACAAATTAATGTGGCTTGAGAGGGCGGAATGAGTCAACCTCCCCCCTCTCTCCTCTCCCCTTCCCCCTCTCCCCTTCCCCTCTCCCCTTCCCCTCACTTCCTTTGCACTTTCCTACCGCGAGAATGATCCAGACTTCTAAATTCGAGTCTTAAGGAACTCTAGACGCTATCAACCCCCTCCTCCTCGCTGTCTTTTGTAACTGGAAATACCGAAAGCGGTTTTCATGGGTAGTTGATTCAAGTGTCTTCGTGAATAGGTAGCTTATGTCAGATTAATAAGGTAAAGCATCTGTTTGATGCTAAGACACTAGAACGGGTTATAAATGCTTTAGTGTTTAGTAAGCTATAGTACTGTCCTGCGGTTTGGTCTAATACTTCAATGAAAAATAATTCGAAGTTGCAGAAAGTTCAGAATCTCGCTTGTAGAATTATCACTGGAAAACGGATTTGATCATAAAACACCGGTATTAAGAGAGCTAAGGTGGCTCCCCGCATCCAGTTTCCTTAAATACACACTTAGATTTTTAGCATTGAAATGTGTCAAGGGGTTAGCCCCCAGCTACCTTTGTCATAGATTTAAGACACGTGCTTGCGTTCATGATTGTAATACCAGATATAAGCATAACTTGAATATCCCAGCTTATAAGTCAGCTTCTGGGCAATGCACATTTTTATATCGTGCAACGAGTTTCTGGAATTCTCTCCCACGTGAAGTAAGAGAATGTGTCAATTTGCCAACCTTCAAGAGACATTTAAAAGAATTTCTCGGTAGTTTTTTTTTAAGGATTGAGACATATTTTAAAGTTCATGAGTTTGATTTAGTATTGATTGTAATTAGTTTTTAAAACCCATTTAGTGGAAAACTAATAAAGAGGATTGGATTGGATTTGATTCTTTCACATGTTCTCTTAGTCATGGTATTTTTATCCATACAGGGTTATCCTAAGAATACTTACGCTTTAGGAAAAATGTTTAACACTGGCATTTAATTAGTTGGTCATTTTCACCTTTGCAAAAATATATTTTTTATTTTTATTACTATTTGACCGTCAAAAAGTAAATTTTGTGACATGAGAATTCTATGTGATAACCTTTCTAGATTGTCTACAAAGTGCATGCAAAGTTAAACTTATCGCCAAACTAAAGCATTCAGCAATTAAACATATGCTAGCTGGCGACCAAAAATACATACTCGAAACTGTCATAAGTACGCCTTTACGAAATTCCTAAACAAAGATAAAAAAAAAAATTCCATCTTTCTGAATATGGACGATAAAGTTTTTCAAAGCTCATACGCCGGCTAGAATAAGAAAACATTGAGACTAATAGAAGTACATCTTATCGAAATTAGGGGACTAAATGAAAAAAGTAATTACCTTATAATCTTAAAAAGTAAGAAAAAATGAATAAATCAAAATAGAAAATAATATCCCTACACCAATGTGTTAGGCAAAAACCAATTGAGTGATCTATTTTTTTTCGGTTTTTGCTTACCATGAAATTCGGTTTGCATTGTTTATTAACTAATAAATAGCCTCATCTTTCATGTTATTTGAGCCGGTGTATATATTGCTTTTCTCTTTATCCATTATAAAAGAACCTCCTTAAACTGTCCGGTTTTGTAGTAGTTTCCTTACAACTCAGTCGTCGCTTCGTTCAGCGAAAAACTTCTCAAAAACGAACCACCATTGGGAAACATAACATTTGGGTAACCAGTCACTAACTGGTCTGTGCTTTCCGTAGTAGAGTCAGATGGAGAATGGCTTAACAAAATCCCACTGACATCTGCTACATCATCTGGGTTGTACTTTTCCAAGTGCACATTCACCTCATTTTCATAATCACTTCTTGATCCCATCGAGATGCTGTCGGAGTTTTCCTCGTCAGAATCCGGTGGCTTCGGCGGCGGGCCTTTAGGCGGAGGGGGAAAGAACGTGTTATGATCCATGTCATCAAATTCTTCCGGATCTTTCTCACTCATGGCCGCCAGTCGCGAACCGTAGCCGAAATTTAAAAAGCTCACCACGTTGTGAGAGCCGTCGTCACTGCCTTCAGAACTGTTGTCATCCTCAGCTGGTATATGGACTATAACCTCTTGAGCTTCCTGTCAAAACAAAAGGATATACTGAGTTAAATCACCTGAACCTGGTTTGTGTGTTGAATATTCAGCACTTCATTATCTATTATGAAATCTCAGGGCACCAACACCACAAATTGTAACAAAAAAGAGATACACTCCACGGAGACGAGTTTTCGGGAAAATTCAAGATTTCAGTTCTTCGGCAAACCCTTTGATTAAGGGGCCTAGGACATGTTTGCAAACTAAACAGCGACATCTTTCAAAGGTTTAACAAACCTTTACTTCTACGAAGCGAATTGCGGGACTTGACGCATAAATCACCGCGTTTTGCAAAAAACTTTATGAACGGAACATAACTAGAAGCAAAAGCTGAGGTCACCGAAAGTTATCGCACAAAATCGCATCATTGAAAAAAAACACGCATTCTGATTGAGTGGTTAACGAAGCGAGGCATTTAGCGAGGAATTTTGAGTTGAAAACGAGGCTGCATGATATTGTTTCACATCTACGTATACATAACAACTATAAGTTGACGTAGAACGAATAATCAATGATGTGTCGAAAGTTAAATCCAGTTAATAGTAGTGTATAACTTATGTATTCTTCTATTCATTGTCATGTGTTTCTGTTTCTGTATTTTTATCTCATACTGTCATTTGGGCTTTACTGGTTGGCGATTAACAACACAATACACATCATTAAATGTGCTGGGATTCTATAACATGTTATGGCTAGATCAAAATTGTCGCGAAATATAGTAAGAAGTTAAAGTCTCGTTTTCATATGATGGAGACTTATTTTATTTTTTTGATGTTCTATTATTTAATGATAAATTCCTTGTGTTAAAATGGCAATAAAACTATTTCTGTAAGTCATAACCAAATTGGTTTTATTTCGGGATCACTTCATGCTATAAACTGACTCAGTATCTACAACCTACAGTGCGCCTGTTTTTATTGATTTCAATTGTTTCTCTCTAATATTGTAAGATGTTTTAAAATTAAAATCTTTTGAAACACAACGGCACATCATGTTAGTAGCTGAGTAAGAGTGTTAAGTAACAGTTAGTTGTTATTTAATAAACTATTGTAGAACAAACAACTAATGCGTAAGGAGCTGGGACTGAGTGACTGGAGATGTTACCTGTGCGGATTCCACGTGGTTTGATGTCACAGCAGGCTGAACAGGGTCAATGCTAAGATAAGGAGAAATAAGGCTATTTAACTGAAATATACCAACAGAAAAATGTAATTTTCCATTATTTACAAAAGTTACTGAATAGTGAATAATCTAAACTATGAGGTCATACTTGCTGATAAACGTATATTTGTCTATAGAGACATGAAGCACATTCCTCTCGACTGAAAGACACTAAATTTGACGTTATTAAAGTCATCTTTTTGGTAAATTATTTAAACCGAAAATCAATAGGAAATTTGTTGTGTAGTACGTTATAGTACGTATAGTAAGTTGTTGTGTAGTACGTTATAGCGCTCACTACTGCGAGGATCGTGCATCATACGTAGTACGTTATGTATTCCAAACTAAGATGTCATGGGCGATGTGTGCATCCTATATGAGCTATCAAAGTTGAAATTGTATAACTGGCATTTGGAGAGAATGTTTCAAGTTTTCTACCGTGACAAAACTCGTTAACGCTTCTAGTAACTTACAAGAAAAGCTTGTCATTGAACGTCACTCTTGGATGTCTCTTTTTCTTAAAAGGACTCTTACCACTTCTTTTTCTCCTAAAAAATATATGAAATATGAAATTCCATTCAAGCACAGTCAAAAGAGCCTAAGAAAATCCACATTTAACTTTTCAAAGCCTCCCTCTCAGTAAGTGACGTCATTCCCCTTACACCGACTCACTAACAATAACGATAGCCTGGGAAAAAAACTGAACAACATCACGTGACTTGCGAATGTAACGATTATGATGCTTACACATATTTTCGGACACAAAATTGTCTGAAACAAACTGTAATCATTCACACGGGTGGCTTTAACTTGCTAATCATGTACATTGCTTTGAAATTCACTCAATATAATTATCATAATTATCGCTCTAAGAGTCACTCACATGATCAATATAATTATAATAAACATCGCTCCTACACCAATAATGACACCAAAGCAGATCAAGGCTCCGACCAAAGCAGATAACTCGTCCTCAGTCCCCGTTCGAGCCTCCGCTGAAGGAGGTCCGTCTGGTGGCCGGTACCATAGTATATTGAACAATTTATATGTGGTTTTCAAAAGTTCTTCGTTGTCTGAAAGAGCTCTTAAAATGGCAAAAACAGATAATGTAAAACATTAAAATGTAAACAATTAAAATTGAAAGGTTGACAACTCTGTTTATAAATCGAAATTCGTGACACAGAATACAGAGAATTCAAAGGCACCGCACTGGATTTCGATGGGAACGAGATCTCTGCGAATGATGGGTTGGTTGGGTATAAGGTTGTTGAAAATTACGACAGCTTTTCTGTAAACTGATTGACTTCAACTTGATAGAATATACAGTATACCACAATTAGCAAAAGTTTATCAAAAAATTTTAAAAAATTATTTAGAATTTTTCAAAAAGGAAATTAAGTTATCCTGAGAAGCGTTTCAAACCTTAAACGCAGCAATTAACTTGCACGAGAAGATTATTTGAAAATTTTACACAGTTATAGCACTAACCTTGTAATATCAAATCCCGACATTACATCGTTACCTCTCACCGCATGGAGAATCACAAGAGTCCTACAGCGTTAAAAAACACACTGATTATTAGCTTCGAGGAATTTTTATGAGTGTTACTGAGGTTCTGGAAAGAATGACTGCATTTGGATACCCTACTGCGTTTTCCAGTGTCACAAAAAGGCCTTAGTTACTATTTGAAGCCGGGAATATTAAAATTGATGGTTGTAGGATAACAACAAAGCTCGCAAATTGAGCTTTATGAGAGCTTAGTACAACTTTGAAATCAATCAGGTTTTTATTTGGTTCCTCGACAACAAATCTGAACCAGTTTCGTTTTCATAGTTATAAACGAGGTATCTGTATTCATTTAATGCAGCCTCACCGGTTTCTCTTGAGGGAAATGGGAATGCGGTTTTCTCAAAGAAAAATTAAACTGGAATCAGGTCTCGGCGTATCGTCAATATAACCAAGCGGATTGTGATCAGATTACACTTACGCGTTTTCACCATTTTCTTCCTGGAGATATTTGATAAAAGCATCCCCTCCCGTTATGGTTTTAATCATCCTGTCCAAGAATAGGGATAGTATTAATAATACAAATGTTGTTTTCTTTGCACTCAAATAACACATCATGTATCGTTTCTACGTGATTTGAAGTTGACTATATTGTTTGTGTGAAACAATAAAGACTCGACTGTATTTGTGGTGCAAATTAGTGTTCTTCATTGGCGCTAATCTTTTCTATTTTCCAATAAAAAGCAAGGCCGCTCATTACGTATGTAAAACTTTTCCAACTTAAACGGTGGCGTTATATTTTTGAAAGCTAAGAAGAGGTTCAATTCTGCTGAGTCTGCTTCCGCTATTTCTCCTCTACCCTCCCACGGTCTTCATTCCACACACCGATTTGTCCGTGTTCAGCGTTGGCGGGTGCCTGGAAGTGAGATGTGGCACAGCTCTTAAGCTGACCTTCATCGTGCCCTTCTCTGTCGCCATCTTTACAACACCAACCCTCCAACTCTTTCAATGACGTGTTTTTGTTAGGGTTTATCAAAGCACATGTTCGTAACTTGTTAGGCTATGTTTGTGTAATTATGCAAGATTTAAACCACAACGCATACTCAAGAAACTTTTGTCTGCCTTTCGTGATCTCTTCCGGGACCACCCCCGCCTTTATAACTAGGGAATCTTCATCACGGAGAACAAAAATCTAAAGAAATATGCAAGAAAGTGTTAAGACGCTCAATTATGCCCGTATATCCTCCAATTACACATTACCAACCTATCGAGATACTACAGCAGACATATCGCACATAATTCCTGATACGACGAAACTGTTAGCTCTTCACTTAGCTTTCAACCAATATAGTTTTCAGTCTATGACAGAGCAGCATTCTGATTCACTCATCTTGAGTAATCGGGGATGGTGTTCGTATTGCTTTATGTGTATTTCTCCCGGTAATTTATTCTGATAAATAAGCGCTACCTGAGCTCTTCCCCCTTCCACCAAACAGAGTTAAATCTAATCTGCGCTTCAAGCAGTTTCCTTGATTTAACCTAGCCGGATTCCGTTGGTTTCCTTTGATATTTTATTACATTCTGATCGGCCATTTTGATTGCTCTGGTTTAATTTGCAAGGCACTCAGACCAAAAACTGTGGTGGAGAAACAAAAACGCCAGCGTTCAGAGCGTCTAATTATATTTTTCGCAAACGCAGGAAGGCTTCACAGCATTTCTTACATACTTACGTTTACGATTGCGTTGGTGGCTGCTTTTTTCCCGCCATCCGAGGCACTTACTTCTAAAGAAAACTTAGAACCATCTTTATCAGCCAATGAGGTTGCGACTCTCACATGACCTGTGTCAGGCTCCACGTGAAAAAATCCCAATCCATTTCCATTGACGAGTTCGAAGGTAATGGCAGATTGTGAATCTGAATCAGCATCGCTCGCCTGGATACACAAAAGTATGTCAAACACAAAGCCCTCAAGCTTTATGCTGATTCCTGTACAGCTACATTTCTTCTTTAAGTTTTGATTAATTTCTCCTTTGCAAGATTAGTGCATTGCTCGCTCTTAAGCTGTATTTTAGAATTTAAACTCAAAGTCAAACTCGTCATTGTACGTTAATCTTCTCTATCCTTCACAATTCCTTTTCCCAGTTTCAATTAGATGTTTCTTCTCTGTTCAGTACCCTACTTGCTAAACGATTTTCAACACCTACAGGTTGGGTAAAAATTTCACTTCAAAGGAACAGAAGTCTGGTCGAGAGTGGGTTTTCAAAATTTCATTTCTTTGTGACTACAAAGCCGTAAGCAGTTTGCAAAATGATACAAAACCTTATCGATTGTTTTTTCCCAACTTAACAGGGTGAAGTACTTAAAAAAAAAACAAACAAACAAACGAAAACATCTCTAGCGATGGTTGTCAGGTTATCAAATAAATTTATTTTCTGGTTTATAGTAAAAAATAGTCACAGAGCAATTAAGATATATGAAGGACCTTATCCCAGGACACGTACCTTAACAGTTGTCACCAGCGAATAGTAAGTCGTATCTTTGTACACACCTCGTAAAGGAATATCAAAAATCGAAAAACAAGTGTCAATAGGCTACCGCTGCCTTTTTTAAGGAGAAAAGACCAATTTTTTAGTCCTTTTCCCATCTTCACAACTTTTTACAGTTGAGAGAGCATGAAAATACTCTGCAAGACATTACTAAGGGAGGCGCAGCGCAGTGACCAAAAGGTGACGACACTGAACACAGCAACAAAAGATTCGAGTTCAAGTCTTTTTTCCTGTCATTGCGTTGTATTCTTAAAAAAAACTCTCGCTCCGCCCGTGGGGGAAGAGGGGGGATTTTGAGTAACAGAAACATACCAAGAAAACTTACATATGCTGAGGGGGAAGTCAGATCCAGGGTAACATGGACACGCCTGGTCGCTTCCTTTTACAGAAACCAAGATGAGCTCTCTCGATTTGGGTAACCAAACCTGTTTTTTTGGGAGTGCCCGATACAAAATAACAGCCGATACTGATGGTTTCCCCACCATTCTCCGCAAAATCTACTCTTATTTGAAAGTTTTAGAGTACAAGACATTTTATCACCATGGTGTTTTTACTGTTCAGTAAAATATTGTTGTAATCCTCGTTTCCTATCTCTTATTTATCCTTTTCACAACATTTTCTTTAGTATCTTACCTCCTACGTATGATGTCGGAGAGAAGACTGGAGAATGCTCATTTATGTTGGTGATGTGGACAACAACGAAACCAACATCAGAGAGGGGATGCTGTCCATTGTCTTGAGCGTTCACCACCAGCTACGGGTAGGAGATTAATTATAAGTAAGTGTTCAGATAATTCAAGGAGGGCTACTGACGCAAGATTAAAGACGCTTCAAGCCAAAGTACATGGACTTTTTCTATTACAAAAGATTAATTTTGTAAGCTGATAACTGTTTGACTTTAAGGAACCATGGGACGTTTATTTCACATGGACAGATGACTGAACCTATAAAAAAGAATTGCATGTAAGACTTCAACACACGAGTCATTTGCTCGAAGAAGACCGTGCAGCTCAATTAGCTTGCCTAATGTTTCCGTTGCATGCGAAGATAAAACAACGATTTAGTGAGTAATGATAAAGGCTTTACCGTGTACTCCTCGGGCTCAGTTTCCTTGTCAAACGACTCGGATGTGGTTATGACGCCTGTAATGTTATCAATCGAGAACCTGTTGACCGCGCCTTCTACAAGCCGATAAGTGATCCGCGCATTCGCTGCCGCGTCGGCGTCGGATGCATTACACTGAGCAACAAATGAACCAGAAGAAGTATCCTACAAGAGAATGAGGTGACTAATCGATGAAGGTTCAGATACTGGCACTGGTATAAAGATAACCTTAGAGGCTGTAATGATGGGGTCAGTCTCTCAAAACACTCTGATTGAACAATGTTCCACGCTAGAAATCTCAAAAGCGATGACCTATTTAAAAGGGATGAATTTTTCCATTACGTGACTTTCTACCGCAAAATGTAGATTCATAATCTTGCGGTCATGGCAAAGTCAAGCTGACTTCGAATTTACTTACTTCCGCGAGAGAAACTTGAATGATTCGTGCTTGAAGAACCGGAGAGTTATCATTGGCATCAATCACGTTTATAATCACGCCACTGAAAGCACGGCGCCCAGGCTCTCCCATATCAGAAGCTGATACGTTGAGTACGTACTGCGCAGCGGCTTCATAATCGAGTTGTTTTACCAAAGATAATTCTCCAGATTTATTGTTCAAAGCAAATAGAGCTGGAAATAGAACGAAAGAAGACATAGGCTGTGAAATAACTCATAACTTACATAAATAATAATCCGGAAAGAAATATTTGTGCTATTAAAGCCAAATTAAGGATACGGTAGACCTTCGCGGGTGTCCTTCGCGAAAAAAATTGATACCGCGCTATTTAAAGCACCATAAATTATAACCACCATAAACTATATATCAGTGGAAAGGTTATTAAATGCACTTTCCAACAGAAATTCTTTCGTTTTAGCTTGATCTAAAGGTAAGCCGACTAAGGCGCGACAAGTCGAAACTGACGATGTTTCATTGAGCGAATTAATGGGATATCAAATCTACCCGCACAAGTGAAACTTATGCACAATTTCAAACTTAAGGGGTTGGTCTCCAAAACTGTGTGGGGATTTTTCGATTTTCCTATTGGTTGTTTTGCAATCTTTCTGTCAAGTTTCGTTATCACAATTTTTACCGATACGCGTTGCGTCGGAGATCATTGCGAGAGATCAATTTCGAAAAACGGAGAAAGCCCCACGTGGTTTTTTTTTAGATTGGTATCTAGGGAGCTTTCGGACCAAATTTCAAGTCAATCCGTAAAGGTTTCATACCCTATTGTCGTACGGCAGTGAATGTGTCGTCAACGTTACCCTACGTTGGTTAGGCTACGTTGACGACACATTCAGCGCCGTACGACACGACGAAATCGACGTATTCCAACGCCACCTTAACGGAAAAAACACTGACATACAGTTTACCAGAGAAGTCGAAGAAAATGGCAAACTTTCTTTTCTAGACTGTCTGGTAAGCCATGAAGACAACTCACTACAGTTGACAGTTTACAGGAAACCGACGCTCACCGACAGATTACTAGACGAGTTATCCTACAACCCTACATCACACAAAGCCACAACAAAAAAAAAGTCAAGCTGAACATCATCGACTTACGAACCACAACATTGACTAGGACTCTGCGCAATGCCTAACCTACAGCACTAACTACTTTCAATGACTGACTCTGGAAAGCTGATTTATTAACTTAGAACAGACTCCCCTAAACAGATGTCAACTACTACGGGCTCCATACAAACGACTCATTCACGACATTAATATGACAAACGAACCGAACAGAACTACCTAACTTTACCGACGGATCGAAACAGACCAGTCACGACCTACTCACGCCACTTAAGTCTTACAGACAATGGGAAAACGGCAAAACTGACCAATCTTTTTACAAGAACATTCTACTGAAAACAACTATTCACTTGACTCTAATGATGACTTCCGCACAGGTTGTCGAAAGGTCAGTCACCATCACCGACAACAGTCCTTCTCAGGACTACACTCACCCGTACGATCACACTACACGTTCACATGTCAAGTTATGTCAACACTGAAAAACTCGGAATGCCGACTGCCAATAGAATCACAGGCGCAGAGTCCCAGGAGACTCTCGACTGCCAATAGAATCACTGGCGCAGAGTCCCAGGAGACTCTCGACTATCCTACAGGCGTGACAGAGCTTCGGAATGCCGGCGACGAGAAGAAATTTCAGACAAAGGAAAGTTTCAGTGGCACCTTCAAGTTCAACTCTTACTGACCCCAAGGAGGCGGTGGAGTCCGAGATGCGAGCCCTTGCCTGTTTCGGCGAGATTTTTTCGCCATTCTTGATCGAATTCCTTCAATGTCTGACTCTTATGTCCACGCTTCTTTCTAACTTTAACTCAAGGGCTCTTTTCCTTTTCAACTCAACTCATTATTTAACGAGCTGCTGCGATATACACGTGTAACTGACATACGAAGATGTCTATGCGACTGGGATGTTACCTGGGATGTTACCTGCTACCTGGGATGTTCTGCCGTGAAAAACATCACGGGAGTCATTCTCGTTGACACATTATAATTGGCTTTTCACACTTTGGCGCTTCAAAGAATTCAGTTCGAAAAAACTTTTTTGTAAATAGCTCGAGTGCGTTTCGATATTTTAAAATAATTTTTTGGAAACTGTAGTTAAAATAGTAATGCTTTGTTTAGGGTGAAAAAAATATTTTTGGCGAAATTTGATACGCGAAGGTCTGCTGTATCCTTAAGAGACGTCGTGCACTTAAATTGTCAGATATCGTGTATTAGCTTATACAATCTAGACTGCGAAAATGGAAAATATAGGAAGACAAACTTGGTGGTCTTTGGCTTTAACATATATTTGTAGACCAGGTACAATGCGAACTCTGGGGGCGAGATCCATTGAGAATTCGACTAACATTTAAAAAGTTATTCTTCAGTTCAAAAAAAATGTATGGTAAAAGCATGACAGACAAACGGTGCAGGAAGCGTGAAGTTGAAAGATATTTTTGTGACTTTGGAATCCACATTTTTCAACCAAAAGCAGTCTTATCAAATTACTGCAGCCATGAATACCTCGTTCATTGCCTGCTATCATGTCGTACACCACAGAACCACTCAGTCCGGCGTCTCGGTCCAAGGCTGTTACCGTGAGGACAACAGATCCTTCGGGTGTGGTTTCTGGTACACTTACTGATGCTAGGTTTTTAAACCTTGGAGTGTTGTCGTTTACATCCACCACGTTTACATTTATCTTAAGAGGTAAAGAAATGTTCACCCTTATTTAATATCTTTCTTCATGTTCATCACCTATCCATTTTTTTCAATTTATTAATTTATTGCAAACAGATTGATCACACCAATAATAACATATCTAACCATTGCAAAACCTTTGCTTTTCCCGTCTTTGAAGAGCTCCATGACCAAGGTGTACTTGTCATGTTCCTCTCTATCCAAACCTTGAGCGCCAACCCGCAGTTCCTTTGAGGTTTCATTTACAAAAAATTCGCCACCTTCGTTACCTCGGTGGATTACGAATATAGGATCTGAGATGTTGAAATATTTCTCCAAGTTCTGCGAGTAAATGGAGGGAAAATTAAAGACAAGTATCAAATCATTTTATGCGTGTCACCAACCTTTGATAGGGTAACGTCAGTGTGCTTGCTAATATAGTCAGTACTGTTCCTTAAGGAGTGAAGGGTCTCTAGATAAAACAATCATGGCTTGAGAGCAACTATTATATTGATGATCATAATGAAGGTATTTCTTGCTAAGCACTTCATTCAGAAGAGTGCTTTTCTTGACTCAGATATCCATATACCGTCAAGTCACACAACTCAGATATCTACATACCGTTAGGTCAAACAACTCAGATATCCACATACCGTTAAGTCAAACACGGTAGTATTCTCTTCATTTTCTATCACTGATGCCACAAATGTTCGATTGGGCATTGAACCAACATTTATCATAACCAGCGCAAATGCAACAGGTTGATTAGTTGATTTCGCCTGGAAAAAAAGGTGAATCAGAAAAGATGATAATCGATGTGGTATTTAATCTTCTAACACCAATTAAGCATTAAATGCTGCATTAGAGCTCTAATGCAGCTGCCGAGAATGTTCGTGTGCCCTAGTTTTGTCTACAGGCGTCCTATCCTTTCGATCTCCGTGCGGCGTTTGGGAGGTATGCGAGAGACGCGTCTTCGGCGAGTATCGTGCAGTGACTACGAGGATTAACGATTGAACCTCGGGTGGACCTGGCCGAAAATACCCAGGGGTTTAGCTTACTTCTTTTGGTCTCGCGCACAGATGAGAAGTTTCCCTGCTTTGTGTCTTGACCGTGCGCAAACTGCCATCTCATCCGTCACTAAGGTGAGTAATGAGAAGGTTTAACCTTGTATACGTTAAAGTTGCGACATTTTGCGTTTCTTTATAAGTGGCTTTATATAAACAATCAATCAGTGAGTACTCAAGCTAAGAACGGAATTCAAATCAAGCATCTGAAGTTCACAATGATTTCAAAATTTGCAGGTGTCCCTAATTCTGTAGCTGCCCCTAATTTTCAGTGACGATATGAATAAGTTTCATTGCAGAGAAACTTACCGTCACTATAAGAGGATACGACTTTTGAGAAAGATTTCGGTTAACTGTTATTACTCCTGTGGCGTTGTTGATCTTAAAACATTCTTCTGGGTCACTGGCTGCAATATGAAACAATGAACTCAGATATGTTTATCGACAATGGACAATGTCGCCTATGAGCGAGTGTCTTGCTCGTTTACATGAGGACGTCTGTCGAATGCATTGAGGACCACTAAGGATTCAAAGAAGACCTTTCTTGCTGGGAAAAATAAGTCCTAGACTGGTGCCAAGCCAGCACGAGTGCTCAAATGACTGTAGGTTACCTCAATTTCCATAACACTAAGCGACTGGCATATCAAGAAATGGTCTGTCCTTAATTAAGGCTCAAGGTATCGTACAATAACCCTTTGGTCATTGGTAACGCTCAAAGACTTCTTTTGATGCTGGGTGGAAGAGCTCGTGACCTCTCGGAAGATTATTGGCATTAAAATCTAGCTGCTGCTGCTCCTCCTCCCAGAGTGGGATTCTAATCGTATCGATCACACGCTGGTAGACTCTGACCGAGGGACACTAACCTGGATATATGACGTATGAGACTGAAGCCTTCATAGAATCCTGGTCTTCAGCGTGCACTCTGATTATTTCACCTCCCTGTAAGACATTTTAGAGCCATCTTAGATTGAACTGATGAATAAAGGGGGTAAGTTTCTAAAGAAACTGTGGTACTGTGTTGGTGGGGGAGTATAACAAGATAACTTGGTTTTATCAACTGAGTTGATAATAAAAATTGGCCTTTATAGCTGATGTTGTGAGCGTTAGCCGTTCGTCAGAGCAGAGAGCGAATGGACGTCGATTCGCTCCGACGAGGGGCTAATCGCTCGAAACGTTAGCTTTGAAACTCTTTATGGTGGCCAATTTACATTATCAACTCAGTTGATAAAACCAAATTATCTTGTTAGGTTGCGCTGGTTTGACTTGCGCGTCATGCACTTAGTCAGATACAATTTTAAAACCAATTGACTCGGTAGTTTCTTCGCTTGTTTTATTTACTTAGTTTCTGGTGGTTCAGTAAGACAGATTGTTGGAGTAAGGTTAACTTTGAAAAGCGCCCACGGGAAATCTTAAATTTGTGCGCCCTGTTGCCCAATGTAGAACCGCTGCTTCAAAATTCTCAAATGGTAGCGTGTTCATGATAGTAAAATGATTTCTACGGCTAAAAAAATAACACTTGAGGGAACAAAATGTAACATGATGTACAAGTCATTATGTTTTATCACGTAATGCTCAATTAGCGGTCGCTAGTCCTGTGGGGGAGGTTAGAGAGTCTCAGTCAGGTAGACCAGCAAAAACGATCGCCACTTTGGAGGGTTGTGGGAATCCTTTCATAAAATCACAAATCGAGGTTTTTCTACTTTTCCACATTTCAAGTCAGTGAGGCATGTATGAGGGGAGAGGGGAGGGGAACGTTGTTCCACTAAAGCTTTCCTGACGTTTTGGGCATAAAAGGTTGGGTTATCATTATTATAATATATCAAAAGCCAAAAGTGTGGTTTATTTGCATCCTTAGACCCCCTAACCACGCCCTTGTGGTAAACAGCAGACCTCTTTATAATTCTCACCTGTGGTGTATCAACGTCGATCAATACTTCATATAAATATTGAGAAAATTCCGCAGGAAGGTCGTCTGCATCTGTCACTCCTATGTTAACCACTGTCCAGTTTTGATTGCCCGTAGGCGCACCATACTGATCCTAAAATATGTTTTAGGTAAAATCAATCGTGTCAAAATCTCATAAAGTAATGAGGATGTCCATTGTGGTAAAGTACAATGATGACCACAAATTAGATTACGAACTCAAGATTTCTATCAAGCTATGGTTGGCCAGGGCGAAGCCCGAATTATCTTTCAAACATGGAAGTCGTGATGAGATAATTCAGTCGTATTTAAATAAATTTACCAGTCGTTCAATGGAATCCAATGCCCATTTTTTATATTACCATTTCAATTTCTTTTTTTGATTGCAACTGCGGAATGTTAGGCTACTCAATATACTGTCAGCCATACATCATGGAATACATAGTGAGAAGCGTAGCCAATCAGATTGAAGAATTTGTGATAGTGTTTGAATAATGATATATATAGTATATCCTTTGTCTTAACCCTTGAACCCCAAGAGTGATCAGCATCCAAAGTCTCCTCACAATATCACCCTTGAATGGACGTAAGATTTACCACTTCAACGGGTTTCATACGAAACCAACAGAATGACCGCTTCCCACTTGGCTTGTCGGCTCAGTTGGTACAGCACTGCACCGGTATGGCAGAGCTCATGGGCTCAAATCCCATACGGGCCTAAATTTTGTTTTGTCAGGCCTGATTTCCACTACTACATAAGTAGGGTTCATTACTGCTAAGATCGCTTTCGCACATTTTATGAAAACACATATATGTTTTTCATATATTCAAATTCATTGACGCTTTTGATTGTTACATTATAAACAAAGCAGGTTTCTCTTACCGTTGCGGTCACATTTAAACTATATTGCCGTGTAGACCCATCGAAATCGACTGGTTTGTCTAACATAATCTTCCCAGTTCCACCATCAATTTTAAAAGTTCCATCCTGAAACAAAAATCAGAGATGAAACGTTATGAAATTCATTTTTATAGGTTATTTTCAAAGCCCTTTTTTCCGAATTTCCCCCCACAACAATTATACTTTTTAAAGTTTTTTCCTTATCAAAATGTTATCATAAATTTAAATTCGTCTTCCTCAGAACTTTGGGGAAGACTTTTAACTGAAGACGTCTTCCAGTGTTGTTATGCACACATGTTTGTTTGGTTGAAGTATGCATTATTAAGTATACATTTAAATTACTCTTACGGCTAGATGAAAGTTTGCAAGATTACCCGATACGGATACCTATTTGGGTACGGGTGAGAAATAATTGGTAACTAGTAAGGGGATTTTTATTTTCTACCACCAATTTATAAAAGACTTCCTGTCATAAGCTAATGATCTCTTGAATCCACAGGAAAAGTCATGAGGCACAGTAGATGCGTGAAAATCAAATTCTTTTCTACGAATGCAGTATTTTACCACTGACCGTGTTTCCACCCACGATCCTGAAGAAAACTGCATTATTATGATGATCTGAACTGTCTTTATCAGAAGCTGACACACGGAAAATCTCCTCTCCAACTTTCGTGTCCTGAGTAAAAAGAAAATGACGTAAGCAAAAGGAGAACGTGTTGGTCTCCTCTGTAACCGCTAAGACACGCCAAGGGCCTAGAGAGGAATTTCAGCGGTGGGATAATATAAGAGCGTGTGAGTGACATTTTGGGAATGGTAACTGATCATTAACTTCATCCTCATCTTCATCCTTATCCTCGTCGTCATCTTTATCGTCATCGTTTTTTTTTCTTAAGGAATCCTACACTAGCTGGTCTCGACCATTTCTCTATTTCTTAAGTTTAACTCTACTTTGGAATTTTAGTCATTAGTCATTTTATTAATTACTTTTTATGTATAGTACAATGAGGGCCACTAGTTTATCAGTTTAACTGTAAAGTGTTTTACCCTCCTTAAATAAAGTTATTGATCTACATGTCCATCTATCTATCTTCTTTGTTGATTGCATTGTCGCTCCCGTTATTATGCTTATTGTTGTAATAAATATTTATTTTCTTTATTGCAAAAAAAATGCTGTTAACTGTCACCTTACTCGTACCTCAGATATGTTGAATCGATAGGGCAGGTTTTCAAATTGAGGATAGTTATCGTTAATATCCAGAATTGTGCACCAAACATCAACTGTATCCTATCATAAAGATCAAAAGAATACAATAACGTTAACTCTGTTGCTCGCACATCGACTGTATAATAGATTGTCAAATGTTTTCCTTGAGATTAAATTTGCTTTCTATTGATTCATGTCAGCATAAATACTACCCAACCCAAACTGGTCGTGTATTCTCAGAGACATATAACACTTCTGCTACCGACAAATATTCATTTTCAGAAAATCTTTGAATACAGGACGGCCCTTTTTGCCAGGCAAGTTGAGTTTAAATTACTTACCTGGACAAAAAAAAAGTTTAATCTAAGGTGTCGTTTTCTATTTCCGTTTAGTCGCTGGATGGCAGTTGTGCCATTCAATTTAGACATATTTGCTATTACACAATTCATGGTGTTTCTGGTAATATCATTTGGAAGCAATCTTGTGTGGATGACTTGTATAGGACAGAAGACACATACAAAGCTTAGGCTCCGTGTGGGGAAATTTACACAAAAGTATCCTCTCTTCCCAAATGACGACAGTTTTCCCAAAAGCTTTTATTTGCATTCTTCAGTACTATCTTAAATAACCGTGGTTGTGCATCCATTTAAAATATCTTTTACCTCTTGGTTGCTTGCTTTAGCCACTGCTTTTAAATTCCGAACGGTTCCCGTTCCCTTTGAAAACATCAATAGTAATTTAAAACACATAAAAAGGTAAAGTAGATGATTGATGTACTTTTACACGGCGAAGAAAAAAAGATCACGAAATAATCATCAATATAGAATTACTAATTTCTTTGATGAAATGGAAAGATGAAGACGAAAATAGAAACAGGATTTGTGAGGCTTGCGATACCAAACAGTCATAACCTAGTATACTCTTCTGTTTAAAACATCAACCATGGTGATTTTTGTGTTTATAGTCTTGCGCCGGAGTTTCTTAAACCCTCACTGCTGATGATGAAATGTTACCGTGTAGTCCATAGCGCCCGAAGTTCACGCATGGTACTACTGCCATGACGCAAAACGTACCATGAACAACCATGAGCTTGATATTTTAAAATAAATGGATTCTACGCAGCACGAAACGATGTTGTGTTAAGTAGTTGCCGTTTCAGAAGGCTCCAGGCTGCAGGAATCAATACACGAATCACTATTATCATCATTTACCAAAACGAAGCAGGTCCGAAAACCTTGTGTACTGCGCCTACCTCTCTGTCTAAAGTCCTTGCAGCAGTAATTACACCGCTCGAATTGTCTATCTGAAACCACCCTTTGTCATTTTTAAGGGAATATACAATCGGATTGGGATTCTGCCGGGCAGTAGCTTGCACTTTTGTGACGAAAGTACCTACAAATAACATTTATCGAGATAATGAATAATAAGAATAATAATAAAATAGATTCTTATTAAGCGCATTTCTGACCCCAATGCGCTTTACATTATGAAAGCCTATTAAAAACCATTACATTTCATCATCAAGATTCTAACCTATATAATATCATACATAAAAAATTGTAAAACTTAAAACCTGGTAATAAAGCTTTAGTAGTCCTAAATGTCAAGCATGAATCAATTAAAGTATTTCTTAAAAAGAAATGTTTTAGTTTTGTTTTAAATGTAGCAACACTGTCAGGACTGTCAGATCACAATATGGTCTGATAAGTTTAGTGTTCAATGTCATCACAGATGACCTGTCACCTCAGGTCGAAACGATAGCTAAGAAACACTTGAACGCTGCATTGAAACAGCTTTCGCTTGTCCGGTAGATTTTCAGTCTATAGTTCCTTCTGGGCCATCATGTGTTACACTAAATAGGCAAGGAATCTGAAGTCTACTAAAAGAAATAGCGAGTTTTTCTTCAGACACAGCTTTCAAAATGATCGAGATACTCGTATCACTGTAATCGCCATTTATAGAGAAAAAGAGTAGGGAAATAATATACACCCCAGATTGTAATAACAATGGCCGCCACTCAGGAACACTACTGTCCTAATGAAACACACACAATCGCAAAAAAATCGCCATTCCAGCAAACCCGTATTACGCATTTGAAAATACCACATAATGGACAAAGGTGGTTAGGTAGACGACTAGTTGGGTGGGACATTAAAAGTTGGAAATAATTCCAAGATGGCACTAGAGTTGTTTTCACGACGTGCACATGCTACGCATTACACTCATGATCAATCACAAGCAAAAGTGAAAACCAATCGCACGAGGATCCAATGAAAAGCCTTCGTATAAACATGTGATCTGAGAGACCCGACTAATGTTGTTTTCCCGCGTCTCAGTCGCGTCTCACAAATTAGTTTCTCATGCCATGGCTTCTGATTGGCTCCTTGAGATACCCACCTTTGTTCTGACTGGTCGTTGTGATTACTTTAGTTTTGAGTTGTAAGACACTCCATGAAAAAAGTGTTCAAGAAGAATATTCTTACCTTGAGGGCTAGTTTCATTTAAGACGGATTGATAAAATTGTCGTTCAAAGACAATTCCTAAAAATGGATTGAAAAGCAATCTTAGCGTCATTCATTGAAAAGAGAAAAATTATCTCTTGCCTTCAGGCAGTCTCAGAGAACCTTTTGAATGTGCTTGCAATGATACTATTTTGCCAGTGACTAAAATAAGCTCCTTCCAGAACAATTTCGGGAGCAGTAAAAGGAAGATCTCCCTTCAAAAAAAAATTAAATGATAACAATATTCAAGGCAATTAACCTGGCGGGGAGTTTTTAACTACAATCACTCCAACCTAAATCTATTTCTATCTACATAAAGTTCAAATCAACATGAGCATAAGGTGAGAAGACACTGATACTCAAAGATCAAGCGCAGGAGATCTAGCGCAGGAGATCTAGCGCAGGAGATCTAGCGCAGGAGATCTAGCGCAGGAGGTAAAAACAACAAAACCTTTTGGCGCAACCTGCAAACTCGAAGTGGAAAAGAGTGGTCTGTAGAGCTTAAATTCGATCAACGACCAACCACATTGGGCCGTAACATTCTACTGGGTTCTGTCAATCACTTGGTTTGGTACGGTGCAGCATGCATTTTCCCGAAAGCTGAGGCAGAACAAAATTTTCATCCTCAGTAGCTTTTGTTATTTTTTATGACCAGTCAATTAGATACGCTCTACATGAAGTGAAATCAACTTCCTTTTCACTCAACGCGACGCAAAGACAGCGCTAATAGTGTGACATTTTTTTGCAAGTTGAAATAGAAGTGAATAAAGGAACATGACTGTATAGGAGATTTTGGTTTAAAATTAACTGAGTTGATAATGTAAGTTGGCCACTGTGAAGAGTTTCAAAGCTAAAATTTGCAGCGTTAGCCCCTCGTCAGAGCCTATGAGCCCTATCTTAAAGGTAAATAATTCACAACCCGTTTAACCCTCCCTTGTCCTTAACAGTCTATTTCATTTTGGTTTTATCATTGCCTGTTTGAGCTTTTCTTCCTTACAGAGCTCTTCCGCAAGATGATGATTTGAGCGCAGCCTCCTTTCCAGGCTCTCTATCATCCTCCGAGGATGGTCTACATGTCACAAAAAGTATAACGTGTGTTTCTTGGGAAAAGCGAGATACTCAGACAGGAGCAAAAATTTGCTAGAAAGATCTCGGCGGCTATAAGTACCTTCCAGCGATCATTCTTTAGTACATAGCTCTAGGTTACACTTCATTTAAAAGCTGTCAGTTTGTCATCGTCGAGCGAATCGTAAACCTCTTTCAAAGATTTACATCAATCTTGCTAAAGTATCCGCAAATTGCATTAAAAATATAATGCACACCATGGCCATGAGGTCAGACAAAAGTTATAATAACCTGTGCTGACACGATCAGCAGGACGGTAATGAGACTGCCATACGTCATTCTTTGTTTGACTTTTTACATTCTCTTACGTCACAAGACTGAACAATCTTCTGCCTTTCGTGTACAAATTGAATGATTAGCTTTTCAATCGATCCAAAATCTCAAGCTAAAATAAAAACAGGTCGAATCAATTTTCAAGCAGCTTCTGTAAAAGTTAAGGATCAAGTGAGACGCAAGCGCAAACGGCAAAATCCACTTCAAAATCTGTTTTTGTTTGCTTTTTGACCAATTCGTAAAAGTTTCAACAGAAAAAAATACCGAACATTAAATACAAATATTTTCACATTACTGAGACAGGAAACTGAAGACCAAAAAAAGGAATTAATGCGGCTTTTCCTTTTAAATATATGCCCACTATCTAAGAGACCATGACATTCGGTAATGGCTTCTTAGGCTTCCGCTATGTTGCCGCAATCATGTCAATCTTATTTCGTATCACCATGGAACTGTCTACAACACGTTAGTGACTTTCAAACCTTGCAAAAGTCAGTTGGTGCTGCTGGTGGCAGAATACGAAGCACAACTGTATTAAAAGTTTGTACATTGAACATCGACGCATGTATTCCTTTTAAGCTTACGAGAATACGACAGCCATAAAAGACTGCGCCATAAATAGTTTAACTTGAATTTGATATGCGCTTGATCTTTCTCAAGTGTATACAAACTATACAAATGTAAAATACGCAAATTGATCAGGGTATTCCGACGAAGGACGTTAAGTATTAAATAGATGTATGGTGTGCCAGTTTTGAAATGAGAGGAGACTAATTAAAAGGATTTCCTCAAAGATGGAAGTTTGCGATATCTTAGTAGGTGAAGCTGGACCAACATACATGCAGTGATCATTTCAATCATTTGATTTTCGACACGTACCTCCGATTTCGCTCGGTCTACATATAAAGGACACTAAGAAACATAGCAGAAGACTTGACATCACTCCTGGAACTGGTGTGACATTGATGATGTCTCGAGAACAACAAATTCAATTATCGTGGACTTTCGTCAACAACTAAATCGTCTTCGCTCGGATCGTCGTTAGCATGGGTTCTTTTCTCGACAGGAGACGAGCATACTTTGCCAAGGCTTGTTATTTCGCAGCGATTGTCTCATTTGTTACTTGTTGTCTGGCTTCGTCACGGAGAAGGTACGTAATGGCGTTAAACCCGATCTCCTTCCTTCACTCTTCACAAACTGTCAAAAATTTTGACTTGCAATGCAATCAATCCACACAAATAATTATGCAAATTGGTCACAGCAGTTCTGCATGAACGAGCTGGTTGAAGGCTAATTTTACAACAGTAGCTCCATGTTAACATTAGAGGGATTATTAGATTCTTTCTTGGATTATCAATTCAATGCGTCTATATTTTTGTTTGTCATTTAGCGAACCAGCCATTATATCCCATAAGCTAAGTTTTAACTTGGATTTACCCGCTGAATAATGCGCCTAAAAATTATCACTGACTAGCCCTGAAGTAGTAGAGTAGAGAGGTAAATCTGAAAACGGCGGTTGTCAGCGACATTTCCTGGCGTCAGTTCCAGTGACCTGATTTCCAGAGAAACTAAACTCAAACGCCAATGTGTCAGAGTCCTTTCCATGAAAATTCTCTTTCGGTCAATCAAACCATGTGATGGAAAGATAAATTCTTAAAAACTGACCTCTTTCCTTCATTGTGCACGCATGAGAAACCACAAAAAGGCAAGGTGGCGACCTCATTAGTAATGAATTCCTTAGCCCTCATTGGGACTTGGCATGTTTTGGCGTGTTTTGGCGTGTTTTGGCCTTCTGCTAAATATAGATCGTCAGGCTCATAAAGATATAGTGAAGATCGTCTGTCATCCCCTGACAATGGCGAAGAAAGTTTTAACAAGAGACAAATAAGCTAAACCTAGAAGTCAACATCAGTGTTGAATCATCACTGAACGACTTGAAAAAACCTCTCTACATCGAGGAATACCCGAAAACGAAGTATTCCCAGGGTAAAAGACAACAACGAGACTAGAGCGAAAAAAAGGAACAAGCTTCAACTGAGACGAAAAGATCACCTAAGACTGCAAGGGAAGAAGTTGAAAACATTAAGTTACATTTTACAAGAGGAGGGAACACCTCGACAATGAAGGTTACTTCGCTACTAAAGTGTAGTAACTGTCGTTTTCGACAGAATTCAGCTGTTTCAAGCTTGAAGCTTGATCTGCCATCACTTAAAAGAAGTACGCCAAAAATTCATTTAATATAATACGTATATATTAAGTTCCTCGGCGGAACTAGAAAAAAACAGCTCTATTCAAAAGTCGAACGACTATTCACGATAATTTTAACCAAAAAAACAGATCCACTTTTCTAACCTTTTCTCGTCTAGTTTGAATAAAAATCATTAGCTAACACACGAGAGGTTGAAAAAATATTGATAAGCATCAAGAAAAGTCATTCTCTTCTCCCGTTGGCCGTTAACAATACGATATCAAATATTTTCCCGCTGATATAAGGGTCAATCGTTAAGGTCGTGGGAAGATGGCGCCGATGTTTACAATGCGTGACCACATAAATTAAAATAAAAATTTAGCCAGCGGCAACTTTTCTTAGCTTGCGAGTATACTACGTAGTACAAAATGAGATATCCTTAGGGCATACGCAATCACCATGCAAGCTTTCAATAAGTTCCGATGGTGTTCGCTTATACCTCGATCGACGCGGGGGTCCCCAATCACTTTCTTCAGTGTTTACAATCATTTTAAATTATATAGTAACTGAGTGCTTCATTACTGATTATTTAACAAATATGAAACATACGTCTGCTTGGTTGGCAACATCTAATTTTGGGTCCTATGAATTCAAATGCCCACGAAAAGAAACGTCATCATTTGTGAATGACTTCCAGGCCTCACAAAAACTCTGAACCGCTACTGGATAGGGGAAGATCATGGGTTGATTTTTGCTTTATTGTCGAATATGGAGAGATGTCGATACGAGCGTTGAAGAAGAAAGTCAGAATCACCAAAAGGATTAAATTCTCTTTTACTGAGCGACAATGAACACGCCAGTTATTCAGATTATGAGTAATGCTGAATGCTTTACTGATCCACACATTTAGTAAGAGGCGTTCAGCCCAAAGGCAGACGTCTACGTTTTGTAAAGAGAAAAAAAACAGCCAGACCAGCGTTGTAGTTAGAAGGTTTCGTTTGTTTATTATTTCATTACAGGAGATAAAGAAAAAGAGCATTTATGTTTGCTGAAGGACTACACAAATTATCTTTTTTCTCTTACATAAAAATAAGAGTCAAATAAGAGCAATAACAAAATATGCGAAAGCAGGACAAAAGGACAGTAAAAAGGAACAGACTGCAAAATAATCTGATAAGAGGGAGATGCAACCATGGTTCTTCACAAACTTTTTGATTGTGTAACGATGCCTTTTAGCTAAGAAAAACCCTTTTCTATAGTGTTTTTCCACTGTCTGCATCTTTCCATTTCAGGATTATTTCAAGGTCCCGTGGAACTCTTCGATTCATAAAAAGAGTTGACTGCCTTTTTTAAACTATTTGTCTTCTTCGAACAATTGTATTGTCGACCTTTTATGCTTGGGAAGGTCGTTAAACTGCGCGTAGTTTACAGATTAATACAGAACATGAGTGACCTTTTAAAAAGGTTTCAAGTCATCGTCAGGCGACAAGAAGGACAAGAGATCTATGAGGTTTTATTGCATATCTCATCTTATACTCAAGTAGGCCATAATATTGCGGTATCCTAGTTCTTAATTTATGATAGCTGTCCGAAAATGAAGTCTCGTTTTTACAAGAAGATACCAGGTCTCCTGGAGATTATTACTCGTGAGAATAGCTATTGAAAAACAACACGCTGTGATATGCGTGTCTCGCGTGAATTCGCATTGTAATTGCTATTGAAAAAGCCTACGCTCAGAAAACTCTTTATTTTCTGTCTGAACCAAAATATTAAAGGAAAATACAATCAAAGTGCAATAAAAAAAAATTAAAAAAAACCTAGCCATTAAATTGATAGTCGGGGAGTCTGAATGACATTTAATATATAAATCAAGGAAACACGTTATAGATGTCCATCCCTTATCGGTTGATCTGCAGAATTCTGTTTTTTTTTTTATGTGTGTGTGTGTGTGCGTGTGTGTGTGTGTGTGTGTGTGTGTGTGTGTGTGTAATGCGTCAGTCTTCACAGTGTACCTTATCTCTATGGAGGGATTTTCACACCTGTCACAATCGCAGCTTTGGTTCATGTTCGCGTTTTCCAATTTAGATTAAAAAGCGCTTTTCGTGGTGATTACTCTTTTTTTTAAGATCATGACACTCGAAATTTTCAAACTCCAAAACATAACAACAAAAACTCGATCGAATAACATCACAGCAACTTTAATGTATCATCACATACCCCTGAAATTCAGAATAGATAACTGATCGCATTTTCGTTGTACATAAGAAGGAAAACCACATTTTCTCTCTAAAATACTTTTTACTGCCGTTGATGTTCATCTTTGTCAGGTTTTCGACCCATTTCGGTTAACATAATTCTAAACGCATTGTGGACTGAAGCCGAGGAAAGTGAAAGGGGAATTCAGCTCTCTCCAAGGAAGGCAATAAAGTGCGGTAGTTCGACATACTGCAGACACATGAGTACATTGCGAACCTAATTAATATCTGAGAACTCTGGATCAATGCAAACCAACAGACGCACAGTCTGTTGGTTTGAGGGTGGACTGGGTACATCAGAACAAAGCTGGCTGATAAGAAGTTTATAACATCGATCATGTTGTGGAGAAAGAAAATATGAAATATTCTTTTGTGTGGAGAAAAAAGATTTTAACAATTTTAATCAGTAAGAGTCCCTGTAGAGAGCGTGCGTATTATATAATGAATTGTAAAATTAATTACTGACCAGAATGTTTCAGATGAAAAAACTAATTTCGTTCTGTCTTAAAAGAGGATTTTTCACCTTGAATTCGGCTCCAAATTGTCGGTTCATTATCCCAATATCTAAATAGCCATTGTGCATATGTCTTCTCGTGACAAAAACTGAGTTGCTCTTTTTATAATATGCATTAGACAGCTATGAATTACACTAAAAAATCCCATCTAAAATGCTTCTTAGCGGCCTGTCAAAGGCCGATTTTGTTTTTACAAGGAAGGAATCGATCATCAAGCTGTGGGAGTTTTTCGCCCATCATGTGCATGTTTGTAAAATGCTTTTTGGCAGCTTATAAGTATGTTTAGCAAGAAAGCCGTAAATTTTATCATGAAATGCGAAAATCTGGTGTAATACTTACTGTTTTTCTTTTCTTCTTGAAAATTTAAAAAAATACAACTGCGAAAACTTACCACCTCAAATTTAAAACTGAAAAAACTCAGTGTAAACGGAAGTGGCTCGCTTGATCCGGTTCAAAGAGCAACCTTTGAATTTTGGCTTTTTCCTGACGTTAATTTATTGTGGAATGAAGAAAGCATCACCTGAAACTAGCTGTGGCGAGCCTCTAAACACAAAGCGGATACACAATCAATTCGAGAGGTCGTAAACACTTCGAATATTGGGAAGATTGCAAGGACACTTAAAATAAAAATCCTCGTTGCATATTTTGATTTAAAATAGATTGTATTTATAACTTACGGCGCCAATTGCTAACGCTTGGAAATGTTAGTAAAATATTGATGTAGATCCATGATACAAAGTATTTAAGCTACACAGTCAGTTTAAAAAAGCTGGATTAACTCAGGGATTTGTTCCTAACTCTAGATTCTAATACTTTTTCGAGCTGGAGCTCCCTTTTGTTGGCTAGATTAAGCCGGAGTGAAGTAGGTACTAACTCTAACAGAAGCATTCTGCAACCCAACGCTTGATTACCTTACACCCATTTTTCTTGGACATTTCTGTTGTGCACCGAAGAGCACAAAGAACTTCTCTCCGTTACCTTTTAACTCTGGACTGGATATATAAAATATAAAATAAAAATATAAAATTATTACTTACATAGCGCAAAATACAAGTGGATATGATCTAATGCGCTATACAATAGAACTAAGCAAAATAAAATATGAAAACAAACTATAAAAGGCTAAGAATATACAATTTGACTGACTAAAAAAAAAAAAGTCACGGCTATGAAGAGGCAGCAGTGGAACAGTTTTGCTCATCGTAACAGGACTTGTTTAAGCGTTCGCCAAAGCCTATTATCGACCCACTATCCATCTACTCGTTTATTATGCTTTCCTTCCGTTAATCCACCGTTTGTTTTAGCTTGAAGTTTCTCGCAGGAATTCCTGGAGCTTTTCTTAAGACTGGAAAATGAATTTCTTCTTCTTTCGATGAGAAAGGAACTTCTTTTTCGTTCTTTGGCGCTGCGCCTACCGAAAGAAGACGAACTCCGTCGAAATGTTGCCAGACTGAGTCCTTCTGTAGTATCTGTGCAACATCCGTCCGTATTACAACGCAAGAGTTGCTTAAAATCGCGACGAAAATCCGAGTTCATGACAGAGTAGATAATGGGGTTAGCAGAAGCGTTGGTAACCAATAAAAGAGCGAAGAAACGGAAAGCAATCGCAGTGTGTATAGAGCCTTTTATTCTGATAAATGATGCGACCAAATGCAGAAAGATGAAGGGTGCCATGCAAACAGCAAATACGACGACAACAGGAGCCAGAAGACGCAATGCCCGACGGTTTTGCATAATCCTAGAAGCAGTCTCTTTACGAGACATAGTTTCATCGGCTTTAAAGCTTGAGCGACGGTAGCTGTCGTGTTTGCGAATGCTATCTTTCAGCTTGGTTCGGATACGAATGTACGTCAGCGAGATAATAACCAGAGGGGCGAAGTAGAAAGAAATTGCGATCGTTGTGTGGTACATCTGTTGCGCTAACTTCGTGGGCCATGACGGCTCACAGTATTGTTTTCCTGTGAACGGCTTTTTTCTCAGCTCCATGACGAAAAATAACGGCATTACAACGATGAAGAATGAGAGAAGCCAGATAAAAAACAGTACTCGCTTAGCTTTTTGCACATTCATTTGCGGTTTCATACAGTGAACCAGCATTCTGTAACGATGGAGTGCAATGGCCGTAATGCATCCGATTCCAACGCCATAGAAAATATCCGTGAACGGCTGGAATGTTTTGCAAAGAAACTCTCCAAAAGGCCAAGAGATACCGAATTCCTTGCTGATCCACATAGGGAAGGATATAAAAAGAACACCCAAATCAGCGAGGGCCAAATTTAGAATGAAACGATTGCCAACGATCTTCAAGTTTCTCTTTCGCGACGCAATGATGCACACGAGAACATTTCCGACAGTTCCCACCAGAAAGACAACAATCTGTAACGCAAGTATAATCATTCTGGCTGTTTCGAACATTGGCCATGGCGCAAACCTATGCGATTCTGAAGAATTTGTAGAGTTTCCGAACAAGGCTAAATTCGTTGCATTTGAGTCCAAAACCATGGCACTGTTCAATTTGCAATGAAATATGCAAACAGCTTCTCGGAAAACGCACCTAGCTTTAATAGTTCCGAATATCTGTGAGTTGTCACTGTTTGGTTAGCTAGTCTTTTATGTGGGGTTAACTAGCAAAGATGCAAAGTTTATATAGCCACGGATATCACGGAATCTTCCGTGGTTTGATTGTCACTTTATCCCTTTCTCATTTGCTGAATTTTGAATTAATCTATGTCACATGGGGAAATCGCCTCCGCTCAGATGTTCCATGAGATACGATGAATTAGATCGCTTAAAATTCAGGAAATGTCATTTACCTTTACTGAGCTTGCATCCTGTTATGTTAAAGATTTTTAGGTAATCTTAAGCAAATTAAAAAAAATCTGAAGATGTATTTTAATCTAACCTTTGGAAGCAATCTACCAATGTGGCACTCCGGTTACTAAAGTTAAGAAAGGGGGACTGATATATTTGGAATTTGCTCTCGTCCGACGCCCCTAGCTGATTTATTTTACTCAATTGGCCTAAAACGCCGCGGTTTGGAAAGCATTTATCAAATAACTGCTATTTTAGGCGCCGTAATGACCAGAACAGGTGAAAACAGAAGAAGATTTCTTCAATTTGTGGCCGGTCAAATGTACTTGCACAGCACGCACATGAAAAACTTTTCCAACTGAGAAAATAATTATTCTATTCGCTTGATCGTAAGGCCTTCTAGAACAAATAAATGATTATTTACGAATTCAGCTTTAGTTTGAGTCTTCACATGAAACAACAAAAAAGCAACTAATTTTTTTCCCGCAGCTTTGATCCGCTTTGTTTAATGTTAAAGTGATTTGTATGTAAAAAATATCTCGGGGGCAATTTCTTTATCAAATACATGCAAAACTTTCACACACTCACACACACACACACACACACACACACACACACACACACACACACACACACATACATACATACACACACTATTTTTATGAAATTTCCAGCCTACAGATATTAAGAGGCTGACCTGCAAATTGCCATGGCTACTCTAACTGGCTTGTTTTCCCCAGACGGAAACAATTGCGAACATTACAGGAGAAATCATATTTACTAGAACTTTCCATGTTTTTTCCCAAACGCCTTTCCTCGTTATCTGAGGTGTGTCTGAAAGTTTAATCGTTCCTGAGTTTCTGATTCAAAGAGATGTTGATTCCCAACTTTAGTTTTGGTGTTGAAAGCAGTTAATCGATAACAACGTATTGTAGTGTTGAATCTAAAAAAAAAACAACAAAAGGTTTAGCGACGCCTTTACAATGCGAGGTCGGTGGAGTTTGGCCCTTTCGACCCTCAGGAGTAGTGATTTACATGGATCTCTCTTTAAAAATATCAACACATGTACATATGTACATACATACATGCATATAACACAAAGGGGTCGGAATATCAGCTAAAGAGGTATTACCTCTATGCAATAAATCTCTCTCCCTCATTTATGAAGAAATGTGTTGCAGTGAGTGGAATTACATCTGAGAGTTCAAAGTAAGCGGTCCCTGAACTGATCCCGGGGTGGATGAAACTAGTGTCAAACACGAAAAGGCTGTTTATTTTCACATGGATGTGAATTATAGTTTGCTTTGAATGTGGCAAGATTACAAAATGTCTTTGAGTCTGTTGGAAAGAGAACAATAGCAAGAGCCATTTCAGTTAAATTAAGGAAAAAGGAAATGAAATCTGCGCAATAAAACTCACGAAAATAAGATGTTTAGTTTGGATACGCAGTTGGATACGTCAGCTGGTACACATTGACGTAAATCCTAATTCAAATCCTGTTAGTTCACTAACGCTAACTTAGGCCACAGTTTTAGGCGGCAATAAATGGATCTCAAAATCTTTTGATAAGAGGATTACGAGATATACATACGTGTTTCACCATTGTTAGCTGTAAACCATCTCGACATTGTTCACGAAAAATAAACGTATAGACCACTTTCATAAATGGCTGCCGTATAAATATTCTTTTGTTTCAATTTAAATTAGCCCTAATGGCCTCGCTTGAGATAATGTATTCTTTTGAATTTTGTACTGGAGAACGAGGCCAGAAGGGCTAATTTAAATTTAAAAAAATGAATATTAATCGGCAGCCACTTATGAAAGTGGTCTATACGGATGTAAAGTTTGGCAAGATTGAAGATGGTCTCGTCCGCAGTTTTCATAACAACCCTGAGCTTTGTTTGATTAACCGACCCTTAAAAAAAAATCGAAGCTGGCGAGGTCTGCTCCTTTCAGCAAGCCTTTTTTTTTTACTTCAAAACATACAATCAGGAAATTACGCTGAAGAGAAGACTGGTAAATAATATATATCAAAGGAATTAGAGGATTTTCATAAACATGAAGTACCTAGCTCTCTCGTTTCGCTTCATCGCGTATTTTTGCTTTATTTCTTTTTAACAAAGAAAAACGAGGGGCGTGAAAAAATGGAAAATGAAATGCGAATGTACATATTTTCAAAATTTCAAGGTACCTAGTCTATGAGATAGCGCCCAGAACTCGCACATAAACTGAACGCAGTGAATTGCTACCATCAAAAATGTAGACATAAGAATTATAATTCGCTGGTGACTTGCGATAAAAATAGTTCGACATAAGGACTATTTATTACGGTATGTAAAGATAGAAACATGAATGGATTAGTTATTGTTCTCAAAATAGGTTTTATTGAGCCATCTTTTTATTGGGCCATCTCTCACTTCTGATGCCGCTTTCATACAACTTCCGCAACAAGAGGAACATGGAGTTTCCTTTTGGCATGAAATATGAACACAAGGTGCCATGTTTTTTTTTTCCTTTTTTTCGATAATCTAAAACGTTTCAGGCTTGGCTCTTTATGTTGGGAGGAAAGAGCTGTACTTTGTTTGAGAGAATACCACTTCTAAGTCTTTTCAGCGAAATTTCTCGGACGTTTTAAGCTAAACTTCCGGCATTAAATGTAAGGAATGACTAATCTGCAGGGGTCGCGGGTCGCGGGTGGCGGGTCGCGGGTGGCGGGTGGCGGGTCGCGGGTGGCGGGTCGCGGGTTGCGGTTAAGTCGTTGCGGGTAAATTGTGAGATGGTCATGTAGTCAAACTCGAAAATCCGTTCGTAAAGCAGAGCATAGGCCAACATAATACGTACATTTGACTGTTAGGTTGTCAAGTTTAAAAATGCTGATCAGCAAGTTTGGAAGCAATTTGCTTTTCTCCAAGCGATAGACGAAATATCTTTATTTTCCGCCGTCCTAGATGAATATAATGAGCGAGGCAGATCAGGGAAAACGTGGGGTGGGACGATAGGTTTGTGACCAGTTCTTGAAAAAATAGGGCCTATAAGAGACATTGAGACATCATCAATCATAGCTGCACATTGGCCGGTGTGTGTGCAGTGCAATGTTCCACGGGCCTCATACGAATGTTCTGTGCCATAGGGCTTACAAGAGACATCGAGACATCATCAATGATAGCTGCACATTGGCCGGTGTATGTGCAGTGCAATGTTCCACGGGCCTCATACGCATGTTCTGTGCCATAGGGCTTACAAGAGACATCGAGACATCATCGATGATAGCCGCACTCTAGTGTAATAATAATAATACACTTTATTTAGAGAGGGTGGCACGGAATAGTTGAAGTAACTAATAAACTTGTGGCCCTCTATTTAAAAACTTCTAACAAGCAATGCATGTTGAATTCTTACATAACTATCAATAAAAACTAGGAATACTTATCTAATAAGAAGACGAAATACAAGTAAAAATAGAATGTAACTTGAGAGCAAATGATGAATCATATGTCAGAATATAAAATGATGTAGTTTCTGTTGTACCTTAAGAAGGTTGTTTCTATAGTAGTTTTCAAAAGATTCTAATGACACAGAATTCCTGAGTTCTAGACTTAAGCTATTCCAAAGTTTACAGGTAGTGACTGCGAATGATCTACCGCCTTCGGTCATACGATTAAATCTTGGGAAAATAAAATTAGTGTTGCTATATCTTGTAGCACGATCATGTTGCTGACTATTAAGTATCAAAGAGCCTTCAGTATATAAGGGTACTTCACACTTGATACGTTTGTACGCAACGCAGCATTTAGCTATTTTAGATTCCTCATAAAAAGGGAGCCACTGAAGTCTATTGAACAGCTTTACACTAGACGCTTGGTTGTCGGCATCAGAAATTACCCTGGCTGCTCGTTTCTGCAACTTTAAAACACGACCTAGAATCTCTTTGTTACAGCTAGCTAGTCCAGATTGAGCTGACATAAAGCAGGACCGATCTAATCATAGAGTTATAGTACAATAATCTTTGTGTCATGAGCAGGCAAGATCGTATCTTTCTCTATATTCCGATTCGCTGGGACAGCTTTTTACATAGTTTCTCAACATGGGAATTAAATGCTAGTTCAGAGTCATTTTCAAGACCCAGCAGTTTAATACTGAGGACAAGTTCAAGTTCAGTTCCATTAATAGTTAAAACCATCTCGTAGTTGATCTTTGATGTTACATTGGCCTCATACACATGTTCTATCTCATACACATGTTCCATTGGCCTCATACACATGTTCTATCTCATACACATGTTCCATTGGCCTCATACACATATTCTATCTCATACACATGTTCCATTGGCCTCATACACATGTTCTATCTCATACACATGTTCCATTGGCCTCATACACATGTTCTGTCTGTGCCATAAGCCCTCTAATAGACAAGGAGACATCTTCAATGATAGCCGCACTCTGATGTGTGTGCTCTGTAATATTCCACTGGCCTAATAAACTCATGTTCTCTCCGTGCCACAGGGCCTATAAGAGACATCGTTCATGACATGATCGGAAGGCCATTAACATTGTGGATGGACAGGTCCAAAAAATTGGGTCCCTTTGCCTATAATTCCAAACCCTTTGGTGATAAACTACAGTAAAGAAATCTTTCGGGCCTCTCAACCAGTCAGCCTTTATTATGTCATGGGATTCTCTACCAGATCCTACATAAAGGCGAATGCAAGCGTATGTAGGCCCTTAGAGATTGACTTTGGATAATTTTGGCATAATTTGGAAAAGCATAGATCAGTTATGCAAATGCTCGATATGTCACTATCTATTAACGAAGTTGCGCATTCACTGTTCACTTTAGACGCCTCCAAAGCGTACAGCCTTGACAACATTCCCCTACACCTTCTAAACGAATGCAGTAATCAAATTGCAACTGGTCTTTGTGCACCTTTTAATCTCTCCCTACGA